TTGTATTATTTATATTTAATCTTTTGGTCTGATAAACACGTGTATCTAGTAATAAATATACAGCTAMGATTGTTTATTATTTTGATGTTAGTGTGACGCAGTGTTTGATTCTAGTGGCTAAAGGTGACATGAAGCAAAAAAGGTYGAGAACTACTGCTATAGATGATATAAAATATTATAAAAATGCATAAAAATGAGCTATAATTTAAAAAAATAATTGCGGGTAAGGACATGACTATTTTTATCTAAGTTATTTTGAATGAAACATCAACGGGGCCCTCGTTGTCGAACACATGCTACTTCCGACCGGAAACGTAAATGTAAACTAACGAMGAATACGTATACATTATTCTATGAGAATATCAAAATTTACCATTATTTTGTTAAATAGGATAATACTCATTGCGATTTTTGGATATTTATAACAAGTTACCTACTTTGTGACCTGTGAGTAGTATAATAGATTTATATATACCAACCGTGTTTTTTTCATTTATGGAAATATTGAGTCGCCCTTGATAATAATTTGTAAGTACCTACATAGTTTTTAATAAATGCGTAATAATTTATGTACTTTTTCCTACTTACATAATTATATTTTAAATGTATGTAATATTAATATTTTTATTTATATTTTGCAAATAAATGTATTCATAATAGAACACAGTGAATAGGTATACTATCTTACATATTACATACACACAATTATTATTAGAGTTAGGATTTTTCCATTTTTTTTTCCTTTGATTCTATACAATGCTATCCTAGCTAAAAATTTGTTTCATGCTCCCTTGATGCAGAATATTCTAATTTTATTTTGCATTTTTTGCATTTTTTGCATTTTTAGCTATAAATGCATTTTTTTACATCATTTTTCAACATTTTAAAGTCATTTTTCATCACACAGGACAATTTTTTATACTTTTTGTACAATGTAAGGCATTTTTCTCAAATTATAGATTTTAGGGCAAATGTTTATTTTTAATATTCAAATTTATTTATAAWTTATTTAAATGCTTAATCTACTTATAATTCATATTTTAAATTACTATTACACCCATTATCACACCCATATCTCTAATAAAAATTGTTATTTATAAATTCGTTTTTTTACTTACTTAATTAGTTTTTTAGATAATTTTTAAGGTTATTTTTTTAAGTTTTTAGGACATTTTCGCATTTTTTTAAGGCAATTTTGTGTGTTGTTTAGGTCATCAACATCCTAACTCTATAGTTATTATAAATCAAATTAAATAATTAAAGATACAGAAATTAATACTATTACTATATTGTATATTAAACAAACTAAAATCACGATATCTAAGCATAATTTATGATTAATGTGATATACCTACCTCACATAGCTTCTACGATAATCCACTCGTACACTGCAGTGTAATATCATTAAATCCATAGATACATGATAATATTATTACACTTATAATAGACATCGAGTGTACGAAAAGACAAGCAAGATAGAATAAAGGTATACAATTTAGAGTATTATATGATAATGTTTATTATAATCAAGATAGTTTGCTATTTATTTTGTCTCATAATATTTCGAATCCATTTTATTGTTCTGTAAAATCAACAATTATTGGAATAATTCCGGATTAAGTTTTGCTCGGATGAGGAATTTTACATTTTTCTTTCTCATACTCGGGTCTCGGACTACTGCGGTATACTAGTTATAGCCTAATTTACTTTCGGAATTTTATAACTTAAAATATTAATTCGTATAGTATTTTATTTTTATACATTGGATAAACGTAAATTGTTATAACAAAAGTTGAACTTTTAAATCGATGACTCTAAATGTTCGTATTATTCATATTGAGCTTAGGGATTTACCTCTGCAGCAGTGCTTTTCATTGTGTTTAGTTCATTTTTATTTTAAAAAAATTTGGTGTTTGTTMAGTATTATATTATTAATATGGTATGTCAATATGTCATAGATTGAATATAAAAAACACTACAACTTCATAATATTGTTTTACAATATACCCATATGTTATTATCTACTACTCAATTCTAAAAACTAATTCTTATAAAATGAATTACTATAAGACAGTTATATTTTGTAAACGTATTACGTATACAGGTTAGGTTATGTTACCTTCGATATTTGTTTATATTTCTATAATAACAWTGGTACAGTAATATTGTTTTATAATTAGAAAATGTTTTTATTTGATTTTAAAAACCACGAGTTTTTCATAGGTGTTTGATCTGACTACATAACTTAAGTTCATTTTTTCAAGCATCGATTGTGTTGATTTTGGACAATCATCACTGCAGATCATTCGTACAATATTATTGTTTATTTTCCATACTTGCTGTTTTATACTCATATCCAGTGGATAATATAGTATAGGAAAATATTGGATCGCAAACATGAAAGACCAGCCGTGTCGCTGTGGTGGTACATGCGGTGCTCTCTGGTAGTGTCTGGGGTAAGGAAACATGAGAAAAAATAATAGGAAAATCCTCTTCCGATAAATCAATCGATCTTCCCCTTTCGTCRTCTATGGATTGGGTGCGGCGGCATGCGAGGCAAATGGCGCCCTCTAGCCGCGGACTTCAGTCGCCAGTGGGAACCAATGGGTGGCGATGTCTCAACGTTCGGGCTCCGCCGCCGCCACGGCCGACGGTGGACCAGCGATCCAGCATTATGTTTAGTCGTGTCGTGCGTTTGTACCGGCATCGTTGTGGTTCCACCCGTCGTTTTTCGCGTTTATAATAAAATATTGTCGTTTTACGTTTCTTACGTCCGGTGAGCAGTATGGTTCCGAAAGATCTACCGTGATACATATTCGGTTCCGGTTGGTTTATACCAACTGTAGAAGTGATCATTCTCCGATTGAGTACCATCAGCTACAATTTACCATCCCACTCCGTTTCGGGTGGCCGCTGACGAGTTCTCTTCAATTAAAAGTCTTGGTGAGATTACCTATCTATGACACTAGCTTATGAATTAATTGATATAATATCTATGCCAGATACAATATCTTRCCCGACWTTACGAAATCATTTTATTTTTCGAGTAGGTACTTATCTTATCGTGATAGTTAGTAGTGACAGCGATTACAAATCTATATTGYAATGTTTTTGAAYAGGCATGGCTAATTATTACCTACCTGTTCAAGAGAGGAAGCATTCCACTTTWCACCACCAACCCTACAAACCATTTTGYGACGAAACTTTTTCGCWATGTTACATTCTCGTGGGACAACCATTGATTGGAGTTTTGTTTTCTCTAAATCTCGGTTTGTTTTAACTAGTCGACTAAACTACTGCAATAATTCTCGTGAAAAACCGCCTAGTTTTTTTTTCCGGTTGATTTGTACATGTACCTACAGTGTAATTACCATTATAACTAACACTGCAGTGTGCTTACAATCCGCGTTACAGTAATAAAATATGGCAATTTAATAAGATACGTGTGCTACGACTCGTTTCATACTCGATATTGTTTCACGCGATCATATGCATGATAGCTCTGGCGAATTTACRATACTCGTTTACGAGAAAACGAACAAGTGTCTTGGGGGGAAGTATAGCGAACCTTATAAGACGTGTAATATTACAATAAACAGATACCTAGCAATTTCTTGGTATCTTGAAATTAGTCACGCTGCTATGCGCTCACGCTRAAAGTTCTTTGGTGATGCGTATTATTTTGTGCTTAAATATTATATCATTTTATGTTCATCGACCGTTCAGATATAAATATATTATATTAGCGTGAAAATCATAATAAATGTTTTAACTTTTAATGTTCACATTATAGCAGCTTTGTATAAAGACTAAAGAGACGTATGGTTGGAGTAGGATGGCTATGTAGTACATCTGGTCTGGTAGGTAATTATTAAAATGAATTGTWCAAAGCATTCGGAGTACGTCTCTTTAGTACGAAACTGTCCATGTTTAGTTTTTATAAGAGTACTGTAATTATACAAATTCATAATGTATTGCTTAACTATGCTGCTTYTATATTGGCCAAGGATGCATTTTGTTTGGTTATAGATGAGCTGCGTGAACTTTTCTAATACTTAATATATTTTGCATAATGTTCATGTATAAACAAAGATTGGTCGAAAAGTCGCTTTCAGATGAATAAACAAATTATTATAGTTGAAATATTTCAGTAAATTGCACTYATAAAATGAATACACGCCTCTATATATATACTGCATGTACCTATATGAATGAACTATTCTAATATTTCAAATAGATAAAAAAAAATAAGCTTTTTTGAACGATCCCTCTTTTGTTGTACATATTTTAATATTTAACTACACTACGAGATATACATATTAATTTTTAAAATACTTGTTGTGTTTTGAAATTATTCTTGTAATTGAATTCACTTTCAGCTGAATGATCTTTGTATAATATAATCGCATGATACATAATACATTGCTTTATCTTATGACTTTCGCTCATCTTRCACAATTATTACTGAAATTTAAATTGCGTTTYAAAACGTATCTGAAAATCTTAATAGTTCTCTGTAAAAGTTTATTCTTAATGTATTAAAAATATATAAAATTAATTATCTCGGTCATTCAATTTCCATATATTACCATCTAAAATGAACTAAGATATCTATTTGTATGGCTGTTGCCACTTATAATATTTATTCGTACATTTTTACTGTCCATTGTTGTATATAATTTATTTTAATATTCATTCARAATTATTTGGTGATACCTATTACCTAGCTACCTAAACTTAATTTACTTTGTAATTTGTTTAGTAAAATTCAGCTTTATTCATACAGCATTTTACAMAAATTCACAAAATACAACATTCTCAAATAATAGAACTTAATTAAAACTAAAATCCATGAGACTAATAGATGGATATAAAATAATATAATACAGATAACATTGCAAATCCYGAGGAAAATATATGGTTCAAATTTCAAATTTGACTATAGGAATTAGTTACCTATACTATCTAYAATATTTGAAATTAACTTTATTTTTATTCTTCATTAGGAAATAAATCTATTAACCTTACCGTATTATGATTCTACAYGAAGATAGTTATAGTCAAGACGTTTATTACTAGCTATAGCTACTATACTTAATGATTAAAGGCTTAAAGCAGACAACATTTATTACAGTCCTTTTTTCAACATCCAAAAAWTCTTTTCTTCTCTAACCCTTTGTTTATTTGTTCTATGTGTCCCTCCGAGGATAATTTTACCAATCTTAGTGGGCTATAAAAACGAAAAGGCAAATGCAGTGTGCTGATATTTTTTTCGAGACTTAAAATTTGATCTCCAAAAAAGTTTTAATAAAAAAAATTATTTTTTGGTATAGTATACAGTTGTACACACTCATATAACAATTGGAAAGAAAAAACTTCAAACTTATTGATGAAAGTAATACTGGAACAATTTAGATCCTATCGGTGCTTGCTACTTTTATTATAGCCTATAAGTACGTATGTTTGAACTCCGAAGTTTTTTCATTACTTATGAGTTATGTTATWTAACTGAACGTGGAATAAAAAAAAAAACATTTTGATTTTTATCTTTGTGTATTGGGTTTTTATTTTTATTATTATTAAATAGTTGACAGTTTCATTTCCGTATTTTTGTTTTGAACAGTTTTAAAAAATGTTCGATTATTCGACAAATCGGCAGACTTGTCAAAATGATATTAGTATAATACCTACTATGATTTATTAAACACGTTAGACAAAAATRWTTTAATCTATTATAGTATACAGCCATACGAGTACCTAGGTGCGTGTAACACGTCGTTTTAAAACGAGTGTTTTATCCGTAAAAGTCTGTATGGTATATATATCAACATACAATATTGTCTTTTGAAATTACATGAAATAGGTATAATATTTTAATTTGTCTTAGTAAAACCTTTCATGAAATATTTAAAATATGTAGGTATTTTTCATCAAAAAGACAGGAAGTGTAAATTAAGTTCTTATAACAATATTACCATATTATTTATTTATAACCATATATATTCATATTTTTCTTTATAATTTATCAGCAGTAAATTATTCATGAACATTGGAAACACTTCTTTATTATTCCTAGTAGCAGTGTTATATCCAACTGATCTACTTATGACCATCCTACAAGTACCACGAGGCAAAACCAATCATAATATTCAGGGCCATATTTACGCACGGACAAAATAGACATTGTCYTAGGCCCACCGGTGACTAACACTGACTATGYAATATATATACATAATACATATGTACATTTGGCCCAATTTTTTATTTTGTCCTGGGCCATATACTTGGTAAATCAGGCTCTGATAATATTATGATTAGTCTTTGAGCTGAAGATAAAAACGAGTGATATTGGGATACACGATATAATATAAAATACGGCCACTCCAAACATAATGTTTGCATCTTTAATATTTTTCAAATGCATAGATTMTTATGGTTATTAGTGGCATACATAATCTTATACGTTTATAAAAAGGTACACGTTCTAAGTTCTTCGAGTGTCTTGTCTGTGTGTGTACAATTGAGGACCCCCCTAGGATTTGTGAATAATTTCACTTCGGGGGAGGCTGAACTACGGGCTGTCATTGTGGTCACCAGCGACCGATATATATAAAATACTTATATATTATTGTTTGGCGAAAAATAAATAAATAGTTGATCCGAATTTTAACGATTTATGTCGTGTGGCGTTCTACGTAATATTATAATATAATACAGCGCCAAAATATACCTATATTTATAGTAAAAATTATAATAATATATATTGCAGTATATTATATTGTAACGCAAGTCGGTTGTTTTCATTGGCGCTGGCCATCGGCGACGGGCGGCGTGGTGTCGTCGACCCTCGCGTGCACTATTTTTAAAAACGTCGTCGCACACTCCAAATTCGGACCAAAAAAACCGCGCGTCCTCATTTCCCCCCTTATATAACAACCAAACGTGTCATACCGAGTCAACCGTTAATTCACGTGTGTTTTGGTAGTTTTTAGTAGTTAAGTTAATTTATTGTGAGTATTGAGTATTATATTGATGAGTCTATTATGCGCACTCATAGATTTTGTGCTAATATAATATTACTATATACCTATTATTTACTATATCTTACTATCATAGTACAATAGTATAATATTATACAACCTACTGGCGACCGTTTTAGAACTACGACGAACGAGACCATATGTCCCTCAGCTGTAGCGAGAAAAACGGTATTTTTCAAAAAAAAAACACATGCGTAATCTGAGAAAATAATACGACATCGCGGTGCCGCCAGGTGTTATAAAAGAATATACACTCTTGTTTATTATATATTACAATAGGTACATGTATAAAATAATAATTATRTATATATAAATAATATTTCTTGTGTGCACACAGTGTGAAACCGGTTCCTACAATTTTACGAAGCCACCCGTTTACGTTATTACTTATATAATATACGCGCGGGCCAGGATCTACGAGTATATACCTGGTTACTGGCTGGCCAGGTGTAGTTTTTGTTTATGTGTATTGACTAGGCACGCGAGTGTTGTGTACCTATATATCATGGTCTTCCGGTTTTACACTACAGTATCAAATTCGGTTTGGTATAGATATATCATGTATTATAATATATTTTATCATATAGTTATAGGCCTCGTTGTATATCTTAGGTGTATACGCGTATTAACATTTTTTTTCTTCTTTAATCGAATAAGCTCTGGCGCGTGTCCTTTTTAAACCACACCGATTCCATTCTAACATTATAGATATACGGTAGATAATTACTTTATTAGCGTAATAATATGTCGTTTAGTGTTTATTACATGACAACAATGTTCCACGTATAATGTTGTATACTCTGACCCTCTCCCCACCCCTAAACGATTTTAATCGGGTTGTTATCATTTTCATTTTTTTTTTATTCTTTCGTAAAACCTACCGTTCTTTTTTCTTTTCTAATG